CCTATGCAAATGACAAATTTGAGGAAAGTGTCTTAGTTTGCAAATTGGGGGCGCCACCCCCGAATGGGGGAACTTAGACCACCTAATGTCAGCCCTGATGGGGTAACGTAGACTGGCTTGATGATTAATTTAAAATGACCATATATAACATATTTCATGTTTGATATACCTATTGTTTTTTTTATGTTTCAGACTCTACAGAGTCTTATATATGGTAATTTTAACTTAATTTCCAAGCCGGTCAATATTACCTCTTCACGGCTGACATTAGGTGATCTAAGTTCTCCCATTGGAGGGCGGCACCCCCCATTTGCAAACTATGACACTTTCCTCAAATTTGTCATTTGCATATGTAACTAGAAGAGTTCTACTACTATGCACCAAAACCTGGAGTTATTTTACCAGAAATATATCTATTTTAATGCCCAGTCTAAGATACCCCAAGATCTGGGGCAATAAAGACCATCACTTTTTTGAAATTACATAAAAACTATGAGAGGCAGGAGCCAGCAATTTATGGTGAGTAAACCTGGAGTATAGACCTGTATTTTGCATGCTTCAATTTAAGTTTAATTTAGCTGGTTAAAAATGGCATCATTTAAAGAAAAGTAGTCTTAGTTACCCCATTTTATGGTATTTGCTATCAATATTAAAACTATTTTAAATTTTGCAGTAACTATTTGCAGCATACCCTAGTTATATTCATATCAGCCTATATTTAATCTCTATCACTATTTGGAAACAATTAAATCTTTTTTCTTTGACTATTTGCTCCATTATATTTATTAATTATATTAGCATATATTTTATTTTCTGTATTACTTTGTATGTTGCCACTTGTGATTGAAGTTAATACATGCACAATGACAATGGGAGAGTCAGATTCTGACATGCCTAACACTAACAGTGATGACGAGAACATTGTCCCAGAAATGCAAACACAAGATCCTGCTGGCCATAGTGTCAAAGCAGTGAGTTTTTAGACTCTCACTCAAGTTCATTTTTTGATTCCTATATGTAGACCAGTAAATTATCCTTGATACCTGCATTATCATACATAAAAAACTGGTTTAAATCTTGAGTAAATGAGGAAATTAAAAATGAACTGATTCTAAAAAAATCCATAGTTTATCACTATGCTGCTGGCCCTCTCCTGCAATTTTTTTGGATCCAAGCATCTTCAGGTGAAGACATAACTGGCCATCAATGGTTCAACCCAAGCCTAAGATGCTAGAAAACCAAAGAACAACTAGGTCAAGCAGGGACCCATAATCCTAGATGGCACAAACAGCAGATTGGTACAGAATCTGAACAATAATCAGACATCTTAATCAGACCAACCACTTCTCCTGCTATTGCTAACATCAGCCAAGCTCCTTTGCTCCTAGATTACCAGCCAAACAAACACAATATAAATCACTTCCAACCAATGCAACTGGCAAATCTACTGGAAATAACACACTTAAAATTAAGCAACTGTCTCCTGGCACTAGAAAAACCTTTTTGGACCCCATCTCAGTGGCAAGAGAACTGCAAAAAATAATCCAGGATTCCTCAATCCATAATGTCCACATTATCAAAGGGCACAATATTATTGCAGTAGAATACCAAACCTTTGAAAAATAAACAGGAACAAGAAAAGTTGTGAACTGGTAAACAGGGTTGGCAATGATTAAATCAAAATGATTAAATCATGTGATTAAATCACTTGATTTTTTTATAAAAAAATCATGATTTTTTTGATTTTTTCGATTTTTTT